CCCCCCCCCACAACGGAGAGCCTGTGCTGGCAATCCAGCATCATGCCCCGGCAAGATTGGAGCCAGTGCCAGTGCCAGCTTCCAGTGGGAGTGAGGGGGGAAGCAAATGGGAGCCCATTCATTGCGTATGCCCCACAGATGTGAGACTGGGCTCAGGGGTGGATGAGGCGGAGGAGAGTCTAGGTACATTTGCATGCCACCACCGCCACTGCAGAGTGAGTAACGTGGCATTACAGGTGCATTGTCTCTGCTTGCAGAAGCGGAAATGACATACGTCAGCTGAGCCGTCCCTCGCGGCAGTTTGGCCCCATCCCCTTCTCCACCTGGGGTGGCGACTTCATGGCTCCATCACAGACCTGGGACAGGAGCCAATCACAGCCAGTGGTGGGGGAGGGAAGGAGGCGGCATGCATGTGCACTGAAGGTCAAAGTCTAGCAACTCAGGCTGGCCTGGGAAGCCCCAAGACTCCATGCGGAATCCGGTAAGTGAGGAAGCGCACACACTGCTCCTCCCCACCCCACAGGAAAAGCCAGAGCCCAGCACAGGAGACCAAGCAGGGCACGTGGTGGAGACAGCCCCTCTTCCTCCTCCTGGGAGAGTGGTGGCCCAGGGCTGGAGGGTTAAATCTTGGCATGACACTTTGGAAAGGTTGCAGAACCCTGCACTACAATCTGGCCATAGCATCTAACAGCACCCCAGAACTGAACCCGTATATTATCAGGGAGAGATCGAGGCACTTGGAGCTTTCAGTACCTTATGCCATACATAATAGCGCCTGGTTTGATCCTAAGTGGAATTGGGGATTGAGGACTCTCAGACATCTGGGCTCTGAATACACAGGCCTGCGTGTGGCTAAATTGAAAAGGAGCAGTCCACTTTAGAGTACTGGCTGGAGGTGGGAATGATGTGTGGGCTGGGGGGGATAATGGTTTGTGTGTGACAGACATGAAAGTGTTAATTAGTGTAATTACAAGAGGCTAGCAATAGCGTCATTTCCTAAAGATATGCTTGATCCAACTAATTTCAACAGACGCCCCCAGAGGATTGGGCCTGAAACAAACATTCAATGAGAGTTTATTCCAGTGGTACAAAGGCACCTGTCTTACTTTATGGAATTCTACCACAGCTGTTTGTCTATGAAAGGATGTGGCAGACTTGAGTGGGGAGTAGCCGGGGCACAGGAGCCAACCACAGCCAGTGGTGGGGGAGGGAAGGAGGCGGCATGCATGTGCACTGAAGGTCAAAGTCTAGCAACTCAGGCTGGCCTGGGAAGCCCCAAGACTCCATGCGGAATCCGGTAAGTGAGGAAGCGCACACACTGCTCCTCCCCACCCCACAGGAAAAGCCAGAGCCCAACGCAGGAGACCAAGCAGGGCACGTGGTGGAGACAGCCCCTCTTCCTCCTCCTGGGAGAGTGGTGGCCCAGGGCTGGAGGGTTAAATCTTGGCATGACACTTTGGAAAGGTTGCAGAACCCTGCACTACAATCTGGCCATAGCATCTAACAGCACCCCAGAACTGAACCCGTATATTATCAGGGAGAGATCGAGGCACTTGGAGCTTTCAGTACCTTATGCCATACATAATAGCACCTGGTTTGATCCTAAGTGGAATTGGGGATTGAGGACTCTCAGACATCTGGGCTCTGAATACACAGGCCTGCGTGTGGCTAAATTGAAAAGGAGCAGTCCACTTTAGAGTACTGGCTGGAGGTGGGAATGATGTGTGGGCTGGGGGGGATAATGGTTTGTGTGTGACAGACATGAAAGTGTTAATTAGTGTAATTACAAGAGGCTAGCAATAGCGTCATTTCCTAAAGATATGCTTGATCCAACTAATTTCAACAGACGCCCCCAGAGGATTGGGCCTGAAACAAACATTCAATGATAGTTTATTCCAGTGGTACAAAGGCACCTGTCTTACTTTATGGAATTCTACCACAGCTGTTTGTCTATGAAAGGATGTGGCAGACTTGAGTGGGGAGTAGTAGCATGCACAACCACAAAAGGTTGTGTGTGGCGGGGAGGGGGTCTCATACATAGAACTGTAGCAGAGGTAAGGGATAGATTGAAATATATTGGGTGTGTTGGGATGACAAGTAAAGACCAGCAGTTTTGTCCTTCAGTGGAGAGAAGATGGAGGCAGATTGTCACAAAGTTATTTACATTTTTAATATGGATGTGTAGATTGGAAATATTCAAGAAGCACTAATAAGTATGTATATACCATACTTTTAGACATGCAGTTCAGTACACACAAAGGCGACGACTTAGACTAAAATCCCTTTCACACATGGGTTATTAATGGGTTAATGAGGAGATTAGCAATTTCTTTCTGAAAACATGGAAAAGAACAGTTGAGTGACTTACCTCAGCTGTACATACTTTGCATCTTGGTCTATCCTTATTATCAGAACCCTAAAGGAAAAAGACATTAATGAAAACTGATTAAAACAATACTGACTGGGAAAATAAATATAAAACATATTAGCTTCATCTCCCAGCAGAATTAAAGACTAATAGAGCCAAATATATTAAGAAAAATTAATGCTTTATTACTTCAGAATCTGGTTCACATTTGATAAGTGGCATATTTCTTGCATTTATAGTATTTATTTTTTGAATACACTCGTAAATGCTCCACAAGTCTATAAGGCAGAAAAAGATAAGCTTCAAATATACTATGGGCAATCAGCTTAAACTGGGGCTCAAGATCATAGAGCCTCACTGAGCCTTCAGAAATAATCAAGGTATATGGGGTTTAACCATCATTCTCATGAGAAAATACATAATGTGCAGCATTGGTGAGATAAAGCACTCAAAAACGCAACATGCATTTTCATAGTGCTAGATAGGACTTTGGAGTGAAAAATGATTATCCTTTACAAAACAATGGCTTCAACCCTCCTCCCCCATGAACCCAAGGGCTACGTCTACACTGGCCACAATTTCCGGAAAAGCCATGCAAATCAGGTAAGTCAGGATAGGGAAATCCACGGGGGATTTAAATATCCCCCGCGGATTTAAATAAAGATGTCCACCGCTTTTTTTCCGGCTTGGGGAAAAGCCGGAAAAAAGGCGTCTAGACTGGCGCGATCCTCCGGAATAAAGCCCTTTTCCGGAGGATCTCTTATTCCTACTTGAAAGGGCTTTATTCCGGAGGATCGCGCCAGTCTAGACGCCTTTTTTCCGGCTTTTCCCCAAGCCGGAAAAAAAGCGGCGGACATGTTTATTTAAATCCGCGGGGGATATTTAAATCTCCCGCGGATTTCCCTATCCTGACTTACCTGATTTGCATGGCTTTTCCGGAAATTGTGGCCAGTGTAGACGTAGCCAAGATGTATACACAGAAGAAAACCCAGGCATGTCACCCCACCTGAGTGCAAAATCTGCTTAGAGTTTGATCAGCAATGGAGCAAGTTAACATGTTTGAAAATACGGTTCCAGGCCACTGCCTCTCTCACTAAAACTGAAAAACTGGGCACAAAAAGGGCAATGCATTATACATCATATGTTTACTATTAAAAGTTCTGTCTGGCAGGCAAAAAGCGGTGTTGTAGCAAAAGTCAGTTGTGTCTGTCTCTCTTAGATTCTGACTGTTCTGGGACCAACTCGAGTGCATCATTGTAGTTCTGAACCAGCACAGACATTTCCTTCCGGGGAGTCGTGTCCTCTTTGAATTTTAGACCCAAAAATGTTCCTGTGATCAGTGAACCCTGGATCAGTGTGTGGGCTGTATGCTGTGTCTCCATTGGCACATTTTCTAAACCGGTGTCACTAGGGGCTAATGCTTCACGTAAACCCCATTTTAAAAATAATCAATCTCAGGTTCCAGGTAATGGACTGCTCCTGAGGGGTGATGAGCATCCTCAGTCCCCACTGACTTCACTGGGACTTGAGAAAGCTCAGCAACTCTCTGGCAGTGCCGTGATCCTGGCAAGGCTCTAGCTTCCTCTAGCTTTGAAAGGAAGTTTTCATTTCCTCTGCCTATGAAGGAGTGAAACAATTGCAAATTTAAGCCTGGGTAGTTAAACTACAATCTTGCTCTTTTCTTTTGTGAATGAGATGAGAGATGACCTAACATACAATTAGAAATCAAAAGACGGAAATGAATATGTATGCTACAGAGAGAAAGTGCACGCCATTCTGCCATTTGAAATAGTCTTATCATAGAGGTATCCTTGCTATGGTGCCATTTTACTGTTGATCTTCTTGTTTTATCAACATGCACAAGTCATTTCCTAGATTCTTGTTAACTCCTGTCCATTTATATTGGGGGTGCCCATCTCTTTTAATATTTTTGGACAGACTTAAAATCTTTCAAATTTTGCCTTATTGCATATAATTGCTATGCCATAATTGAACATTCATGATTGATTTCCAAAGGGGAGCCCCAACACAGGGCTAAGGAGTGATCCAACAAAGGGGAAGACCACCTCACATTCCCCCATAGATCACTGGAATGACTAAGCACTGGTGGATCTGAGAAAGGATTCCATTAAATATTCCTCTTGCTCAGGAAGCTTCTCTTTGTTCATCAGTAACAAACAGTAGATTTTTGAAAGAGTGAGGCAGTGAGACACAATGGCTGTGTCTAGGCTACATGGCTCCATCAACGGAGCCATGTAGATTAGGGTTATAGGCAAAGGGAAATGAAGCGGTGATTTAAATAATCGCTATTTCATTTAAATTTAAATGGCTGCCACGCTGAGCCGACAAACAGCTGATCAGCT